GAGAAGGTGCTGGCCGTCGGACACCTCAACAAGAATGGCGTCGACTATGACTTCGCCGCTTCCCTTCAGTTTAAGGACCAGAAAACGGCATCCATTTCCTGCCACTCACTGCTAAATCTGGAAAATGAGGCCACAATTGTCGGCACTAAAGGCATCATCAAGGTATAATATATTTGCAATCAGCCAAAATCTATTTATTTAATTACATACCTGTCCCCCGATACAGTTAGGTGCGAGCTTTCACGCGGCACAGAAAGTGTACGTCAATGATAAGTTGCATGAGTTCAAGCACCCGGACCCCATTATACCCCTGGTCTACGGCAGTACAGGCCTGTGCTATGAGGCCAATGAGGTCCGCAAGTGTCTCAAAGCGAATCAATTGGAGAGCGCCGTCATGTCATGGGACGCGTCGCTTACAATCAGCAAAATCCAGGACTCAATCCGCAAACAAATTGGTGTCGTCTATGATGTCGACCCTCCCTCTCAATAAATAACTATTATTAGGCAGTTATTACTGGCCATTAATTATGATAAACCATATTTAACTTAGTTAGCAAAATATTAATAGTTCAAAATTTTATTACATTATGATATATTTTGTATTTTTACCCGGAACATATTGTATGTTATTTTCGTAGAATCCAGAAATTTAATATTAGCTTAATTTGTTTAGTGAAATTGCTTATTAATTTGATTATTACATGTTTTAATTTTTACTGTTATTTACATTATATTTACGAAGTATGTGTTTATAATAATAAATTGTTTAACTTTTTATAATAAATTCTAATATTTTATTTTAGTTGCTTGTTTATAGAAAGTATGAGAAATTATTTTATAAATCAAAAACATAATCAAATTACTGTATTGTTAATTGTTCATAAAGTAATAGAAAATAGGTAATTGATTTGTGTAAAATCGACTTAACAAAATACTTTTCCATAATATTAATTATAAAATTAGCAGATGTTCCTGACATTAATTTGTTTTCTACAAACTATTGGTCATGCACCAATAAAACTTTCAATTTAATTCATTATAAAACTTATTTTAAACATTAGTAAAACAAAATTTTATTTTAATTACACGTAAATTATATTGAACTCTGCTGCATTCACAATATTTACGTATTGACCACAGGACTACAGTACCTAGCATCATTTAAATCACTGGTTAAATTCCAGAAGTACTGCTGGAATTGTTGTATGGGTTGGTACTCATCATATCCCAAATCATACGTAAAATCAATGTTAACTCGTCGGCCGTTTTCGGTGTCATTATAGCGTTGAAAAAATGGTTGCGGTTTACACGCCCGGTTGCATATGGGCTCAATCGGCTCAAACACGTTTGTAGTGAAATCGTACTGACCCTGAGCAAATAACGGATAGTATTGAGCGAGTAATGTATCGTTCAATTGGTTGAGTAGTCTGTCGAGCGCTGCCGGTATGACCGGCGGTTCGTTACGCATAACCCGATTGATGGGATCAATGAGGTTGTCGTATACGTAACACATGTCTCCGTAACCAAACTGGAAGTACTCGATGGCCGACCGGTTAAAGTACGCGATCTTGTCGTATATGTTGGCCGGTCTGAACGTACCGGTGAGGGGGTCGACACTGCGAGTGACCGCCGCGTCATACGCATCTACCGGCACCAGATTGGCGGACGACTGGAGCTGTTGTCTGACGTTACGGATGTCGGTATAGACGTGACCCAAGAAGAAGAAGAAACTGTTGACACAAAAAAGTTTGACATTCAATTTATTTCTACAAAATTGTCGACAATTATAAAGTGTATTGAAATTAATTAAGAGTTTAAAATATTATATTACAGTATATACAGTATAACCCACAATAAAATTAAGGTATTAACATGGTAATTGTGGCAAATACTCACTCGTTGGCCGCGTAACGAAAGCTCATGTCTCCATACCAGCCCCCAGAGCTGAGGTGAAGAATGAAATGGTAGCCCCCGAGTAGTAATGTAGGATCGGGTCCCGTCACCTGTAGGGCCGCCGACTCGATCTCAGGCGAGTGGAAGGGCGGGAGTGTGTTGTCCTCATTCCAACTCCGTTTGACACACCGGGGCTGGAAGTCTATGCTACTGTTCCTTAATATTGTGCCATCTCTTACACAATA